TTCCGTAACTATATCTTCGGAACACGTTTCATTGGGAGCATGCTCGGAACACGTTTCCGTAGATATATGTCCGGAACACGTTTCCGTAGGAGTATTTTAGGAACACGTTTATGTAGCAATATATTCGGAACACGTGTCCATGGGTATCTGCTCGGACCATGTTTTCGTAGCTGAATTTTCGGAACAATTGCCGTAGGTGTATGTTCATAACACGTTGCCATAGGCGTATGTTCGGAATACGTTGCCATAGGTGTATGTTCGGAACACGTTGCCGTAGGTGTGTGTTCGGAACACGTTTCCGTAAGTGTATTCTCTGAGCACGATTTCATGGTCGTATGATAGAAAAGCATTTCAGTAACTATATGTCCGGAGCACATCAGCGTGTCTGTTTTTTGGGAATACGTTTTTGTGTTTACGTTACATAATGTAAATGAGGTGTCGCTGTTTTCAAAGTGACTACGCTGAGTCGAACCCAGGACAACAGATTACTGACCCAGTAACAAGTAAAATCACTCTAGGTTAGCAGAGTCGGTAGCACGTGACTATGTATATATCACAACATATATGTCACCACAAATATGGCCGAGACCATGCGATGCAATAACAACGAGTGTAATAGCGACACAATATAATTGCGAAAAATGTGTACAGTTTAGCGACATATCTTAAAATACCAATAGAGTATGAGGCGTGTGTAACAGCGCCATAATTTAATAGCAAAACAGAACAAACACGATTCAATGTGTTTCCAGACTTGAGCGTTACTTAACCTTTTTGATAGCTGAAACCATCCAAAACTGTTTTTGAAAAATTTCCTAAAACATCTTTTAATGTTCCAAAGGAAAACCGCCTAAAGAATACCAATCATCAATATATATATGCAAGGTAACGATTAATGTTGCGGTGCGTCCGGAACAAGAATCTCAAGCGCTGGTACAAATGCACCTGGCAACGGTCATTCAGCTTTGACCCAGACGTTCCATGGATTTGTTCATAGGTATGGACACAATCTGGCCGGAGTGGCGTGTATGAGCTCCATACATGAATTATCTGGATCACCGGGACAATCTGCCATTATCACGTGCACTCTGAGCTGAAGCTCGTCTTATACCCGATATCACCGTCCCTTGCCAGTAACCTGTACGACTCTGAAGGCGTTATCGCCATATAAGATCGGTGTTCTAGCAGACATGATTGGTCTCGTGTCATGTAAAATGAGCATTTTCTAACGGTGTGCAAAAGTACATTTTTCATTGCGAATGAATGTTTTCATTTCTTCTCATTTTTTTGTTGGAAGCAATGTTGATGATATCGGCGTGTAAACGAGTATTCAACGAAATTGGTATCATACAGAGATTTCTTGACCTATATACAGTTTGTTAAAAAAATGTAATTTATGCGAGTGTGTCGCAGTTATTTAGCCATACATAGCAGTAAAGCGTCGATTAAGTCATGCGTCGCCGTAAAGCGTCGATTAAGTCATGCGTCGCCGTAAAGCGTCGATTAAGTCATGCGTCGCCGTAAAGCGTCGATTAAGCTATGCGTCGCCGTAAAGCGTCGATTATGTCATGTGTCGCCGTAAAATGTGGATTAAGTAATGTGTCGCCGTAAAATGTGAATTAAGTCTTGCGTCGCCGTAAAGTGTGGATTAAAGCCATGCGTCGCAATAAAAGGAATGTAGTTAGCCATTCGCCGAAGGGCATTTGCATTTAGCTAGTATAGTAGCTGTATAATACAGATTTAGCTAAGCGCTGCGATAATCAACGTGTAATGCTATTTTATATGTAACGTCACATACCGAACATGCGTGATTTATTATGTAGTTCATATAATGGTTGGCCCAGATTGTCGGTCATAACCGCGAGACCCAGAATAATAATAAAAACAATGATATAATATGTATGCACTATTCTAACAGTACACGGGTTACGGCAGCGTTTATATCATGTAACTAGATGATAAGGTGAATGGCAAAAAACGCTTAAAGCAGTTTCTTATCTTTAATTCGCTAAATGTCGTCGTAAAATGTCCTTCATTATCGCTGATTAGATGAATGTGGCAGATGAAAGGGTTCGGTACAATATATTGTGAGGGGCGGGGCCAAAACCTCGGTAGTACATGTACTACAAATTAGAATGACGTATTTTCCCTATAGTGATTAAATCAGAGAAGTACGGGATATGTGAATGTCTCAATATTGCAGTCACCGTCCTTAACCTGTATATACAACTAAGCATGCAGTTAATAAAGTAGATTTTACATAAAGGAAACAATAGTTTATAAATATATGTATCACATAATGTACTGTATTATCTAGTGATTATATCCATGTCATATTTTTTTGCGTATTAACCCATGTAATATGACATATCAGCCTTGTGATTGGTTGCAAATTTCAATTGTTTCAAGTGTGACATCACGCCTAGGACTAGTAAATGACGTTACAGACTTACGTACTGGAGTCAAAATGGCGGCTTTTCAAGGTTGCATGAAAGTGTCGTTTTTCACGAATAAATACCACAAATCTTGATTCTGTGATAAAAAAAAATCTGACACTTGTCACAAATTTTTCGTTTTAACTCGCCTAAATTGAAAATTCTTAGACTCGTTTCATAAAACTCATATGAAATGGAAAGTCATGTAAGATCCTATATTATATATAAACAGAAGACAGTAAATATATGAACGCTAGACAGTAAATATAGTAAAATTAGACAGTAGATATAGTAAAATTAGACAGTAAATATAGTTAAATTAGACAGTAGATATAGTAAAATAAGACAGAAGATATAGTAAAATTAGACAGTAGATATAGTAAAATTAGACAGTAGATATAGTAAAATTAGACAGTAGATATAGTAAAATTAGACAGTAGATATAGTAAAATTAGACAGTAGATATAGTAAAATTAGACAGTAGATATAGTAAAATTAGACAGAAGATATAGCAAAATTAGAGAGTAGATATAGCAAAATTAGACATTAGATATAGTAAAATTAGACAGTAGATATAGTAAAATTAGGCAGTAGATATGGTAAAATTAGACAGAAGATATAGTAAAATTAGACAGAAGATATAGTAAAAATAGACAGTAGATATAGTAAAATTAGACAGTAGATACAGTAAAATTAGACAGTAGATATAGAGTAAAAATAGGCATTACACAGTAGATATAATATAATTAATCAGTAAATATAGTGACTCGTGAATTACGGCAGTGACTGGCCAAAAGCCTAAACGTAATTATTATGTCACCACATGCCAAATGAAAACTCATATAACTCATTAACAATACGCATTTTAATTATGTCAAGACCGACTATCAGAAGTTGAGAGGAAATGAATATTGTTATGCTCAGTGCGAGAGTGTTGCAACGTCAAGTTGAAAGACGATTTATTTTGTTGCAGTGTGAAAACAATCAACCCTTTATTGAATCGTCTGAAACACATTGGGTAAACGTCTGAATGATCATTCAGCTGCCAACGCCGTATAGCGACAGCTCGCAAATACCATCTGACCCGGCTTCTGCACCTGTTCCATCGATTGGTCCAAGCAAACAGGACTGCAAGGACATAACTAGGGCGTGGTCTATCCTCAACTGCTTGTGAAGTGGCCAGATTAAAAGATCGGTATCCAAACACCCATTCAAGCCGTATGATCGTTTTATCGATGGATTAATGATGAATCCAAACTTGCTCGGTTTTCACAACGCCATGACGCTTGCGCAGATATAACACCCCAGCGCGCAAACCACTCGTGTCAGCAGAACTCCCGGAGAAAAAGATTAATAGAATCATCCCCTACCCTTAGAGTGTGACAGAGAAATCTCCAACCTGAAGGATGATATTCTTAATTGTTTTACCCTAGGCTTTGCCGATGAATATCATCCCGAGGGTTGGAGATTTCTCTATCACACTCTCAAGGTAGGGGATGATTGTTTTTCTCCCATCCTGTTTTCACTCCAGATCCACCGACAAGCGGTGATTGTATGGAATATTAGCGTTGATTGCATGTTTTACAGCAAATACAGAATTGTCTTCCATAAGATGCTACTGTTGACGTGACGTCAATGTATTGATGACGCGACATCATACTAGTGATCGCGCCATTTTGCACGAGGCCATATCCGTCTAGGGGTTGACAAGTTAATCTTTTCCGGCTTTAAAGGGAGACACACCTGTGAGGGGTGAGAGAAAAACACATTTTAGTACTGTATTGGCCATCTTTTACACGATCACCCAACATCAACATGACGCATACAAAGCACATTGAGGATACTTAAGCGACGTTATGCGATGTTGAAATCAGCCGTCTAAATTACAGGTATATCGACAGATGAAAGTGACAACATCCTCGTTCACTTTATCCTTTGTTTGACAAGTTCAATACATCTACGCTGTTTTTTGAGCAAATGGTGATCATACACGGTGTAATACACGTGATTTATGAATGTTGACTAACCTTGCGCTAACAGTTGAAAAAATCAATATTCACCGCTCATCATTTGCAACGAACGTGATAAAACCTCAAATTAATTTAATAAATGAATCACAGAATCAGATAAGATTATATGAGGTCCTTGGAATGAACATGCCGATTTAGTGTGTAACAAGCCTATATTGTTTAATATTGTCACTTTATAGTATATCAATATATAACATGTAAATAAAAATTAGTTATTTAAGTATATAGATATATAGAGAATGCATAAATAGTAAAGGAGTGAGTTTGATCTTATGTATAATTTACGAGCTTCAGTAGAATGTAATTGGGAATAAATCCGAGATTCCGTGCGAGTTGGATTGGCCTATATCCTCTAACCGTTTATATTTCAGAAGTATGAAATATATATGATTTGACTTCTCCGATCGGGAAAATTCGATAAAAAATACGATGTCATAACGAAGTGACGTCGCAATATAGTTGTGACGTTACGTCACATGATCTCATTTCACAAAGTGGCCTATGTACTTTGTAAAATGATAATGATCTTTTCCAGGTTTACCTGGGACACGCCCATACAAAACATCCTTGGAAGTGGGTTCCGGTTGATCAACAAACTGCGTTCGGAGAACGTGAATCTGCGAGATCTACTGGCCCACAAGGTGGGTGTTCCGGGTTTCTTCAACGCTTTGCTGGTGGGTTTTCCAGAGAACGTCACAAGAGAGGAATTCATCAGGTACACATTTTAATAATAGCATGTATTTGCCACACATGAGAATTTAAATGTTGTCAATGATACTTTTTTTTGTGAATGGCTGATATTTTCTGGTGACATGTTTAACGTAGATTTCGAAAAGGTTGATTTTGTCTACTCCCATGTCATTTCTTTAGACAAAAAAAAAGTCGGAAAATGTCGGTCAGTCGGAATGATACAAGTGGTATAACGATGGGAGGTTTTGAGGAACCTACAAATGGATCGGTGATAACAAATTGTTCTCAACTTGACCTTCTGATATGAACATGACTGACGATTGGGCACGTTTTATATGCAAGCAGAAATGTTTCATCTCGATATTCCGAACAAAAGATTTCTTCAACACTCGGCGTTCTTTCCGTCATTATAAGTAGGCGCACCTTTTTCCGAGGCGTTGTAACATTTTCATTAAATCTTACTAGACAGGACGAAAACAACGAAAGGTCACGCGAGATGGTCGTGATATTGGCGGTTTCGTCTGACAATCGCGGCGATATCATCTGTGACTGGTACCATACATGTCTTTACCATTATAACAGCCGCTCGACAAGATAATGATAGATGCATCTTTGATGCAATTCACAAGAGTATCATTTTTATCAGCAATGATGTATGACTTAACTTACATGTTAAAATGCAGTGGTTCCGTAAAGTAAATGACAAAGCATAGAGAAAGGGTCTTTGACCGTCTAATAATGATATCCAGCTTTCGAAAAGTCTTTTGGATAACTATTCTTGATTTGTTCTTTCGATCAATATTTTCTCTTTTTTCGTCGATCAGCAGTGTAAAACTGTTTTCTTCAATATATCAATGAATTACAACTAAAAGTAGATGAACAATGATGTATTGCTGTAAGATGTCGGTGAACGTTGTTGTATTGCTGTAAGATGTCAGTGAACATTGTTGTGTTGTTGTAAGATGTCGATGAACGTTGTTGTATTGCTGTAAGATGTCAGTGAACGTTGTTGTGTTGTTGTAAGATGTAAGTGAACAATGTTGTATTGCTGTAAGATGTCAGTGAACATTGTGTATTGCTGTAAGATGTCAGTGAACATTGTTGTGTTGTTGTAAGATGTCAGTGAACATTGTTGTATTGCTGTAAGATGTCAATGAACATTGTTATGTTGTTGTAAGATGTCGATGAATATTGTTGTATTGCTATAAAGATGTCGATGAACATTGTTGTATTGCTGTAGGATGTCAGTGAACATTGTTGTATTGCTCTAAGAGGTTGGTGAATATTGTTGTGTTGTTGTAAGATGTCGATGAACATTGTTGTACTGCTGTTAGATGTCGGTAAACATTGTTGTATTTCTGTAAGATGTCAGTGAACATTGTTGTTTTGCTGTAAGATGTCAGTGAACATTGTTGTATTGGTCTAAGAGGTTGGTGAATATTGTTGTGTTGTTGTAAGATGTCGATGAACATTGTTGCACTGCTGTTAGATGTCGGTGAACATTGTTGTTTTGCTGTAAGATGTCAGTGAACATTGTTGTATTGGTCTAAGAGGTTGGTGAATATTGTTGTGTTGTTGTAAGATGTCGATGAACATTGTTGTACTGCTGTTAGATGTCGGTGAACATTGTTGTATTGCTGTAAGATGTCAGTGAACATTGTTGTTTTGCTGTTGGATGTCAGTGAACATTGTTATATTGCTCTAAGAGGTTGGTGAACATTGTTGTGTTTTTGTAAGATGTCGGTGAACATTGTTGTTTTGTTGTAAGATGTCGATGAACATTGTTGTATTGCTATAAAGATGTCGGTGAACATTGTTGTGTTGCTGTTAGATGTCGGTGAACATTGTTGTATTTTTGTGAGATTATGGTGAACATTGTTGTATTGCTGTTAGATGTTGGTGAACATTGTTGTGTTGCTGTTAGATGTCGGTGAATATTGTTGGATTCCTATAAAGATGTCGGTGAACATTGTTGTGTTTCTGTTAGATGTCGGTGAACATGGTTGTATTTTTGTGAGATTATGGTGAACATAGTTGTATTGCTATAAGATGTCGGTGAAACTTGTTGTGTTGCTGTTAAATGTTGGTGAACATTGTTGTATTCCTGTTAGATGATGGTAAAACAGTTGTATTCCTGTCAGATGATGGTGAACACAGTTCTCCTGTCATATGATGGTGAATATCGTTGTATTCTTGTTAGATGATGGTGAACACAGTTGTATTCCTGTCAGATTATGGTGAACACAGTTCTCCTGTCATATGATGGTGAATATCGTTGTATTCTTGTTAGATGATGGTGAACACAGTTCTATTCCTGTCAGATGATGGTGAACACAGTTCTCCTGTCATATGATGGTGAATATCGTTGTATTCCTGTTAGATGATGGTAAAACAGTTGTATTCCTGTCAGATGATGGTGAACACAGTTCTCCTGTCATATGATGGTGAATATCGTTCTATTCCTGTTAGATGATGGTGAACACAGTTGTATTCCTGTCAGATTATGGTGAACACAGTTCTCCTGTCATATGATGGTGAATATCGTTCTATTCCTGTTAGATGATGGTGAACATAGTTGTATTTTTGTTAGTTGCGGTGAACACAGTTGTATTCCTGTAAGATGTCGGTGAACACAGTTGTATTCCTGTTAGATGTCGGTGAACACAGTTGTATTCCTGTCAGATTATGGTGAACACAGTTCTCCTGTCATATGATGGTGAATATCGTTCTATTCCTGTTAGATGATGGTGAACACAGTTGTATTTTTGTTAGTTGCGGTGAACACAGTTGTATTCCTGTTAGATGATGGTGAACACAGTTGTATTTTTGTTAGTTGCGGTGAACACAGTTGTGTTCCTGTTAGATGTTGTTGAACACAGTTGTGTTCCTGTGATGTCGGTGAACATTGTTGTGTTTCTGTTAGATGTCGGTGAACATGGTTGTATTTTTGTGTGGTCTAAGAGGTTGGTGAATATTGCTCTGTTGTTGTAAGATGTCGATGAACATTGTTGTATTGCTATAAGATGTCGGTGAAACTTGTTGTGTTGCTGTTAAATGTTGGTGAACATTGTTGTATTCCTGTTAGATGATGGTGAACATAGTTGTATTTTTGTTAGTTGCGGTGAACACAGTTGTCTTCCTGTTAGATGATGGTGAACATAGTTGTATTTTTGTTAGTTGCGGTGAACACAGTTGTCTTCCTGTTAGATGATGGTGAACACAGTTGTATTTTTGTTAGTTGCGGTGAACACAGTTGTCTTCCTGTTAGATGATGGTGAACATAGTTGTATTTTTGTTAGTTGCGGTGAACACAGTTGTATTCCTGTTAGATGATGGTGAACATAGTTGTATTTTTGTTAGTTGCGGTGAACACAGTTGTCTTCCTGTTAGATGATGGTGAACACAGTTCTATTCCTGTCAGATGATGGTGAACACAGTTCTCCTGTCATATGATGGTGAATATCGTTCTATTCCTGTTAGATGATGGTGAACACAGTTGTATTTTTGTTAGTTGCGGTGAACACAGTTGTCTTCCTGTTAGATGATGGTGAACATAGTTGTATTTTTGTTAGTTGCGGTGAACACAGTTGTCTTCCTGTTAGATGATGGTGAACATAGTTGTATTTTTGTTAGTTGCGGTGAACACAGTTGTCTTCCTGTTAGATGATGGTGAACATAGTTGTATTTTTGTTAGTTGCGGTGAACACAGTTGTCTTCCTGTTAGATGATGGTGAACATAGTTGTATTTTTGTTAGTTGCGGTGAACACAGTTGTCTTCCTGTTAGATGATGGTGAACACAGTTGTATTTTTGTTAGTTGCGGTGAACACAGTTGTCTTCCTGTTAGATGATGGTGAACATAGTTGTATTTTTGTTAGTTGCGGTGAACACAGTTGTATTCCTGTCAGATTATGGTGAACACAGTTCTCCTGTCATATGATGGTGAATATCGTTGTATTCTTGTTAGATGATGGTGAACACAGTTCTATTCCTGTCAGATGATGGTGAACACAGTTCTCCTGTCATATGATGGTGAATATCGTTGTATTCTTGTTAGATGATGGTGAACACAGTTGTATTTTTGTTAGTTGCGGTGAACACAGTTGTCTTCCTGTTAGATGATGGTGAACATAGTTGTATTTTTGTTAGTTGCGGTGAACACAGTTGTATTCCTGTTAGATGATGGTAAAACAGTTGTATTCCTGTCAGATGATGGTGAACACAGTTCTCCTGTCATATGATGGTGAATATCGTTGTATTCTTGTTAGATGATGGTGAACACAGTTGTATTTTTGTTAGTTGCGGTGAACACAGTTGTCTTCCTGTTAGATGATGGTGAACATAGTTGTATTTTTGTTAGTTGCGGTGAACACAGTTGTCTTCCTGTTAGATGATGGTGAACACAGTTGTATTTTTGTTAGTTGCGGTGAACACAGTTGTCTTCCTGTTAGATGATGGTGAACACAGTTCTATTCCTGTCAGATGATGGTGAACACAGTTCTCCTGTCATATGATGGTGAATATCGTTGTATTCTTGTTAGATGATGGTGAACACAGTTCTATTCCTGTCAGATGATGGTGAACACAGTTCTCCTGTCATATGATGGTGAATATCGTTGTATTCCTGTTAGATGATGGTGAACACAGTTGTATTTTTGTTAGTTGCGGTGAACACAGTTGTATTCCTGTTAGATGTTGTTGAACACAGTTGTGTTCCTGTAAGATGTCGGTGAACACAGTTGTATTCCTGTTAGATGTCGGTGAACACAGTTGTATTCCTGTTAGATGTTGGTAAACATTGTTGTATTCCTGTAGTCGGTGGACATTGTTGTGTTCCTGTTAGATGTCGGTGAACATTGTTGTATTTCTGTAAGATGTCGGTGAACATTGTTGTATTCATGTAAGATGTCGGTGAACATTGTTGTATTGCTATAAGATGTCGGTGAAACTTGTTGTGTTGCTGTTAAATGTTGGTGAACATTGTTGTATTGCTGTTAGATGT